GTGAGGGTGGGCGGTAGCCGTGTGTGTTTATGGTAGTGTGTGTGTGTGTGTGTGTGTGTGTGTGTGTGTGTGTGTGTGTGTGTGTGTGAGCGAGCACATAATGGCGTGTTGTTCACGGTATGCCTCAGTAAACGTACTGACTTTGCTTAGCGTCCACAGAGCCAGGATAGACACACACATAACGATACTCTGTGCAATGGCACTGATCCCCCCCCCAATACTGTGTGATCATTTACAAAGCAGAAAGAAGGCCTATCATCTCTGAAAAGGCCTAGTGGCAGGATAATAAAATAACTATAAATTATGGGTGAGCTCTGAGAAACCAGGACTTTCAGTTTAGGCTGTGTGTTGGGTGAGGGTAAATTACAGCCGTGTATGTACAGATGAGGAGGCGGCTAGGCAGACATGTCCATAAGTGTTCACCCAGGTAATGGTGGGAGTGTATGAGTGAGGTAATAACTGACAGTCGGGATATGTGTTCCGTGTCTTAATAAAGTATAAACATGTTAACTTTCCCCTTTAACTCCCCTTTAACTATAACTATAACAATAATAACTAACCGGAGTTCCCTCATAACTGATGGACAGGTAATAATATAATCTTTTAATCCATGATACACTCCAATCACTATAAGGGTAAAGTAACTCCCCTAGCATCCCCTCCCTACCGTACCTACTAAAATTAAGTTATTTGAAATTCCTCAACAGCGCCAAAATGAGTTGGGCTTTCCTGTGGTCCCAACACGAGTCAATTAGCCTAAGTTGAGACAGTGGACAGAGGGACACGATAACAGGCCGCCGCTACACCACTTGTTGATGGTTTATGGTTCACACATGACCCATCTCCTGCACGAAATGTTTCCCGGCCAGTCGTTGAACCTAATGCACTAAGACACACACCACGAGACCCCCCCAAGTGACTTATAAAAGGAGATCTCTATCAAATATAATCATCAAATATAAATACACCCGCCAGCAGGGAATTATTAATAAAGTGTAGTATCTAATTTTACCTTTCCCAGACACGAGAGAGGCAGCTGTGACGTGGCCACAACTTCACGGAATAGAGGCACAGGAGTCCATCAAGTTTACAGAAGGTGGGAAGACTGTGGTGGTGCGTCACTTTTCCTGACGTGTTGTGGTGTGAGGTGTGGGAGCAAGCTGTTCCTCACGACTCACCTCCCGGCACTATGGAGTCACGTTGATGGAGGAATGCAGTGCGGTAAAATCCTACAGAATTCGCTGTTGATGTCCGAACTAGGTCACTGGATACGCATGGAAAATTAATCGGACTCGGAATATCAATTTCGAGCTATAATTTCTTTCCCATGAGTGGGCGAGGAGGTTAAAAGTAATTGGAAATTTTCTCTGATAAAATTATTTCTCTACTGATTTACTAATGATACTAAGTCACACACACTCACTATTTACTCGGTTTAAACGACAATGAATTAAAATTAATCCCAAACCAACTGCACTTAATTTTAATAGTAATATATGATCAAAATCTTCTCATTTAGTCTTCACACCCAATTCGATTTGACGGTATATTATCCACATTACTTGCAGGGTGAGACTCAGCTGTGCCGGGAAGCTTTTAGCCTGGGACCTTAACAGTTGGAACCATAACAGTTCAGATGTATCTAAACTGCTTCCCCTTTTTGCAACCCTTCAGCAGGAGCAACAGCAGCGGCACAGCAGTAAATAGACAAATTAACAAACTTGTTTTAAAAGCCTCAGAGTAACAACAGCTGTAGAGTCTTAACAACGCGGGGAAGGAAGGAAGGAAGGAAGGAAGGAAGGCACAGCGACCCTCAGTGATCACAGGTCGGGGTGCCACCACGAACAACGCCCTAGGAATACTTTATCAGGGAGGAACAACTTTGACAACAACAACAAAGTAGCAACAACAACACAAGTGGCAACAACAACAAAGTGGCAACAACAACAAAGTGGCAACAACAACACAAGTGGCAACAACAACAACAAAGTGGCAACAACACAAGTGGCAACAACACAAGTGGCAACAACAATAAGTGGCAACAACAACAAAATGGCAACAACAACACAAGTGGCAACAACAACAAAGTGGCAACAACAACACAAGTGGCAACAACAACAACAAAGTGACAACAACAATAAGTGGCAACAACAACACAGTCAGCAACATAATGCACGTCTCAACCAAGACAACACCACCTTCCTCCAGTACCAACACTGGATAGACCAACCACCCGAACGGCTAGTAAGTTGGTAAGTGGTGAACAGGATAAACAATTGGCATCAACAAACAACACAAGCCAATTATCTCATTTGCTGATGGGGTTGTCCTCCAGCCCCCCTCATTACAACACCACTGACCTCCCTCTCTAGCATAACTAATTACCCCCCTCGTAATTAAACACCCAACTCCCCTCGTCATCACCCCAGTCTATATTGCCATCTCACTATCACCCCCAACCTACACTCCCACCCCACCACCTCCCCAGCCTAACCAAACTCCCACCCATATACTAGTCATCCCTAGACACCCTCACCCTACACCCTCACTCTACACCCTCTTTGGTAACCATCTTGGTCGTTCACACTCCCAACCACCAACATTATAATTTCACAAATGAGATAAATTAAGGTTGTAAAAACGTGACCTTAACTTTCTGAATTATGGAGATATTTATCCATCTTATTAACGACTAGACTTGTTAAGATAAGATAACAAAACACACACACACACACACACACACACACACACACACACACACACACACACACACACATACCTCTCATCGAGAATAACCGGCTACAATGTCTAATAAACAGACAGTTGGGAGGCATAAATTAGTTTTTATCGTGTCGTAACGTACTAGCGTGTGTCTATAACGTAACATTAAGAGCTGAGTAATGCAGCGGCCAAGGGTGTTTTCTGCATAAATGTCCGGAAGGTATGACTCGGGTGAGTGTCCCCGAGGAATTATTGAAAAGAAATGTCCTGGACGATTAATTGAATATATATGCCTAGTAGAAATTATTCAAAAAATCTCTTTCGTAGTTCTTAGCTGTATTTTATATGGAAACAAATTATAGATATTTTCTGATCGGTATTTCTCATGACCTGGCCCTCAGTGTCAGTTATTATACTAGGTTTACAACAGAGAGTTAAGTATAGGTACATCATCCTTAGTTATTGTCTAGTGAACCAATCAAGTTCACTTACTGTCAGTCATTGAGGCCCGGTAATACACAACAGTGGTGAAGATATTGTGGTTGAGTAAGGTCCTCACTCACCCAGACTTATGGCTCCCTGGTTGATGACCCTGGCAGCTGAGACACCAAACTCCTCAGCAAAAGCCACAATAAACATGAGCCTCTAACCTAACCTGTACCCGGGAGGTGTTGGCTACCTGCTGTACACTGGCCCAGCTCACCTTCCCCTCCAACACCTTCCACCTTCCCCCCATCACACTCACACTACTCTACAACCACTACCCCAGTACACACACTCATCCTACCCCCACCCCCACACACACCCACACACATACACTCATTCTACCCCTCCCCATCACACACACACTCATTCTACCCCGTCACATTCACGTCTGGCTGAGTTACAACACGATAAATTTTGGGATGAGATAAGCGTCACAAGAAGCGGCCTGACAAGATTACCTTCATTAGTTTGATTGGTGGCCTCGTGTTTTGAGCATCCCTCCGGTGTCCCGCGCCCTCTCCTACCTCTACAATGATCAAATTTACACCTGGACACAAACTTTAAGAGACTGGAATATAACTTGCTGTGGAATGTCTTTGTAAACCGGAAATATACCTCAAGAAACTGTAAACTACCTGGGGACTGTTTTTGTAACACGGAAATATACTTCAAGAAACTGTAAACTACTTGGGGACCGTTTTTGTAACCCGGAAATATACTTCAAGAAACTGTAAATTATCTTGCTGTGGACTCTGTAACCTGGAAATATACCCTAAGAAACTGTAAACTTGTTGTGGATTGTTTTTGTAACCCGGAAATAAACTTCAAGAGACTGAAGAAAAAAAAATGGCCGCGAGCTGGAGGGCAGATGCACAGAGGTTCTTACGGAGAATATTATTCGTAAATAAAACCATAGGACAGCATCTAACATCCTAAAATGACGACACAATCATACTAACACTATACAATGTTCACTATACAATGTTCACTATACAATGTTCACTATAAACATTCCAAATCATTTTCTGCACTAAGGTCTATCAAGTGAAGTCTCATTAAAAAAGAAATTTATTTAATTTTTGCGTTTTATTTTATTCAGCCAGTGAGGTAGTTTCTTACGGTGCCTGGCGGTGTGAGTCCAACCCCTGGCTAGACCTCCACACGGGTCAACGCTCCAGGAAACGGTCGAGGAAGGGAGGAGACGCAGGGACTTTGTTGATTTTTGGTGTGTGTGTGTGTGTGTGTGTCTGTCTGTCTGTCTGTCTGTGTCTGTCTGTCTGTCTGTCTGTGTGTGTGTGTGTGTGTGTAGATACAATTTTCTTAATAAAACCCTATACCTAATATACATAAATGTTACTGCATCACTTACCAGATGCCTTATCAACCTCTTGTGTACGACACCTTAAGCCCCCCCCCCTGAGTAATATATAATCCTACTGCAGGGAATACATCACGGTCTTCAAAGGACAACTATCGTTTTTAAGTGATTAACTCATAACCAGGACCCCGTTATACCGTAACCATGAACCACGGGGCTATGATAATGAAAGAAGGTTAATGGAGGAGAGAAAAACGGCTTAGAAGCTGAAGAATCGAAGAGAGTCAGGTAGAAGTTGCTGGGGTGACCGGTCGCCTTCCTTAGTGAGTACGAGTCATTGTATAGATGCACGAATATATTATAATAGGGACTGGTTAGACTTACCGCTAACAAGAGTCGTTTGGAGCTTGTTTAAATTATCGCGTGTGTTGACTATGTGTTGCTTCGATAATCTACGTCCTCAATACACCACAGCATGATATCTAGACTATCCCTGAACCTGGACCTAACACAAGCCCGCCAGCTAGCGACACACACTATATACCCTGGCTCATCCCTGCCCACCTTCACCTTCGCTCTCAGGTGAGGATCATGTGGCTATGGTCGTGGGTCAGTGGACAATAATGGAGGTGATTGAATCCAAGCAATAAACTGATTTTTGTTGGCAGTGATGTGTGGTAGAGCTTAGACACGAAACTACGACCACTGACCCTTACACAGCCGCCAACACCACGTATTACCACCACCAGAGACGGTACACCACGTACTACCACCACCAGAGACGGTACACAACGTACTACCACCACCAGAGACGGTACACAACGTACTACCACCACCAGAGACGGTACACCACGTACTACCACCACCGTACACAACGTACTACCACCACCAGAGACGGTACACCACCATACTACTACCACCACCAGAGACGGTACACCACGTATTACCACCACCACCAGAGACGGTACACAACGTACTACCACCACCAGAGACGGTACACAACGTACTACCACCACCAGAGACGGTACACCACGTACTAAGACCGCCTGTGACAGTAGAGCGGAATTAAAACTACAGAATACCGAGGTGAGTGTGAGCGTGGGTACAGACACCAGGACTCTCAGCAGCCAACTTTTGTGTGGGTCGCACCTTGAGTGTACTTGAGCTGTGCCTGAGAGTCTTTCACGAGTTATGACCTTTGGCAGGTGACGCATTGTTCCCCCCGGAGACCTTCCCGCCACTCTCTCATTCTGCCTTCCGGGTAGGTCACTCCTCACATCTTACAGTACAGTAGTTCTGCTAATTTACGACTACGTGCTGGGATAACACCCATGGGAGCTTCACTAATTCACAGGTTTATATATACTGACTAAAACTGCGTCTTATGGCATTCACGAAAATTACAAACTTATAAAACAATAGTGACTATTACCTGGCACGCAAACCTTCACAAGAAAGATTTATACACACAGCAACAGGTAAAAATGTGTACAATAAAAGAACGGGTTAAAAAAATCCTGAACAATGTTTGGGTCGCTTACACAACAAATAGTATAGGGAGAGACAAAAAAGAAAGCCTAGAAAAGTGTAGGACGGTAGACTATAACCCTCACTGTTTTATGTGAGGGGAGGACAAGTAGCGATACTCTCAGTAATGTCTATCTTCCATTGTTCGTGCTGCATTGTGATGTCTACTGCATGAGAAAAGATTAGGTCCTTTGCTTCACAAAAGGCAGTGTCTGTTGTACGATGGTGTTAATATCTGTCGCATGATAACTCCAATGTCTGTGTAATTATGAGGACAAACAGACATAATCCAGTACAGTCTGTAATACCGACGTAATTGCATGCGTGATTAACTGCAGTAATTCTTACAGTAATGATACAGTATACAGATTCTCAAAGGTCCGTACAGTTATAAATAATCCTCGTACGTAAAGATGTAGGAACGCACTTAACTGATCCAATTAAACCAAACCACAAAAATAAACTCCAAGAAACAGCGTCAAAATTTCTGAGACAACCTTCACTAGATACGGTCACTTAACACCAGTTACCAAACAAAAGATTAAAATACACGACCTTTGGTACACTTACGAGGAACACTACTCACCACACGAGCGTCGGAGACTGTGGACTGGTCAGTGGTCATGTACAAACACAGAGCCAACGCCTTGTACGGTCATATATTAAACAAACATAACTCACACAAGCTTAAGGTGTAATTATCATAGTTCCACCGTCACGCCACTACTACTGTACCCAGTTAAAACCTTCAATACCAAAAACTAACATTACACTGTTAATATACGCTGTTAAGGCTGTGAACTACCAATTAAAATTCGAACAAAACACACTTGGTATAGTTAGTCCAAGGTTAATATAGAGGTCTATATTGACCTAGAGTTAGTCAAGACATTGCCAATACCATTTAATAAAAACTACGTAAATAAAAAAAATAATAATAATCATGACTTTTAAATTACCAAATAAAACATTAACACGATACACCTAGTTTAGACTGTAAATTACGACCAATTAAATCAACGCAATTATTCGACACCATCAAGATCGTGTAAGACATTAACTAAAAGCTTTACCATCGCGTTATCAAGACAGAGTTAGCACACAGAGTGGCATCCAAATTTACCTTAACCAGTGACCAATATCTCTAAATCTCTTACGGTTTTCTTAGCATTTATACCACAAGTCAAATTTATCCAAAATCAACAGATTCAGCCTTTGTGAACTTCCATTTAGCCAATAGACACAAGCATTAGACCTCTGACCTTTAACTGTGACCTAGTAAGTAAAAAAAAATCACCCCAGTAACTTTTTGGGATGTGACCTTGACCTCTGACCTTACTTCATTCCATGTCATAGATACAATCCTACAAGGTCACACATATCTGGTACGGCACAGCACATGACTTCAAGACACCACAGCACATAACATTCACACATACCTAGTCATTATAGCGCACGCACGCACGCACGCACACGCACGCACGCACGCACGCACACGCGCGCACACACACACACACACTATAGTCAAGTCCCGGGGATGGGGGAGAGAAGAATGTGGGAGGAGGAGGAGAAGGAGAGGGAACAGCTGTGATATGCAAATGTGTGGTTCAGCTTTAACGTTAACAAAGCCACCACAACAGACAGCCAATGCCGCCAGTATTGGTTTCCATCAGGGGGGGGGGGTGTCCAGCGCCAAGTGCCGCCCACAATGGTACTGTTCAAAACCATCAACGGTGCAGATACAGTACGGTACAGCATGTGAGTAAAGGTACAGGTAAACGGTACAACACAACCACTAAACAACGGTTCTGTTTGTTTATTACTCAAGTTTTCTGGTGAACAACAGAACAACAACAGTAATGAACACCAACAGAACGACAAGAGCAATGAACACCAACAGTATTGAACACCTACAGAACACCAACAGTAATGAACACCAACAGAACACCAACAGTAATGAACACCAACAGAACAACAACAGTAATGAACACCAACAGTCAGAGTACTAGCACTTCTCTCCCTCAATGTTATGCACTACGACAATCATCCTCGCCTTTCATTAACATATTCATGTTGTCCTGATGAGGAAACTCCACAAATTTCCATAAAAGAAAAACTTGAACTTTTTCTTTCCCAGAAAAACAACAACAAATATTATTTTGGATTTAGAATAAAATGTTTGTAATAATAATAATAATAATAATAATAAATTCTTAAGCTGATGTCACAAATATTGTTTGTTTACCAGTTCGTTTTACTTATTTTCATCGTTTCATGGAAAGTTTTCATAAGTCTAAGTAATATGTCACTTAAAAAATTCGAAACTGTCAGACATTCCTGGCTACTGTCATCAGTGTGCCAGGATGAGCGACCTATCAGACAGGTGTAGGTAGTCTACCATGGTTACTATGTTAAGCCTCTACACGTGAGGTCACAGCCTCAGGGAACACAGGTTACAGACACTGACACAAGATTAGTACGGTAGGTGGGGAGGCTGGCGGGGGAGTGAGAAACCGTGAACGTTCATTCCTACGTCATTAGGAATGTGAGAGTGGGGCCACTGAGGAAGAGATGGTTGTCGTTATCACTGGTGACTTCTTACTGACATCATCTTCCATCTGGATTAGACACAAGGATTCAGGAACACTGTTCTGTAGCCTGCAACTTCTCACAGGTACAGCAATATTGGTTTACATTAATCCGCTTATACTGAATCTGACGAAAATCCTTTCTGTAACTCGGCAGTTTGTGTGTGTGATGGGGTACCGTGTGATGGGGTGCCGTGTGATGGGGTGCCGTGTGATGGGGTGCCGTGTGATGGGGTACCGTGTGATGGGGTACCGTGTGATGGGGTGCCGTGTGTGTTGGAATACCAGGTGTGTTGGAATACCAGGTGTGTTGGAGTACCAGGTGTGTTGGAATACCAGGTGTGTTGGAATACCAGGTGTGATGGGGTGTCGTGTGTGTTGGAATACCAGGTGTGTTGGAGTACCAGGTGTGTTGGAATACCAGGTGTGTTGGAGTACCAGGTGTGTTGGAATACCAGGTGTGTTGGAGTACCAGGTGTGTTGGAGTATCATATGAGTTGGAAAACCATGTGTGTTGGAGTACTGTACACTGGATTTGCTACAAGTTAACACGATTGTAATCGAGTAAATCAAAATGTAATCACCCCATGTCTGGAGTCAATTAGGATTGAGCTACTTTAAAGTAGGCTTCTTATGATCCTTCCCCACCCTTTGTAAGTTTGGTATCACACACAGTTAGTTGCCCGTACTGATACAAAAGACAGGTTTAAGAGAGCACTTATCCTTCATACAAGTACATTATCTATATATAACCGTACGTAGGTATAATTACGAACACATTCACACAGCAGAAACAAACATCAAGTTAAAACAGGATGTATATAACAAAAACAACATCTAACAACGGTGTCACATAAAAAAAAGGCCAATGAATGTATAACTGAACTAGACAGTGAAAATAAGAGAAAAATATGCCCCGACACGTAGAGTGGGCGGCTGGATCTATACAATAATAAACTGTGGCTCGGCGTCTCATCATAAATAAGGTCCACACATCGATCCTCAGGTTCCCAAAAGCAGGAGCTGCCCCACCTCCCGGCGAGAACGTCTGCGAACAATATTGACACTTCCGCCAGGGCGTCGTTAGTACCAGTTCTCTCCGGCGTGGCGGTATGAGGGCCGCTATACTGCCTGTCATTAATGATCTGCCTGGCACCAGCTTAATGTGTCGCTTTTCTATTAGCCCTGAGGCTCAGACGCCACCTCACTTTACACACACCTGGGTGTTGTTCCTTCCCTCCCGCTGACGTTACTTGACGGTCATCAACCTCTAATTTGCGCTTTACCAACGCAGATTTTATTCAGTCATTAGGTTTTATCTGAAATTTACCTGACTTCGATTCCGGGTATGTTCCTACCTAGCTGCCCGGGTAAACAGCCTGATCAACCTGGCTGTTACTGTGAGCATACTCTACCACGTATGGTGTTACATGGAGTGGTGTGTCCAGGGATTACGTCCAAGAACCAACAGAAGCAGTGAACCAGGAGTATAGAACCATCAGCAAGAATTTAGAACTCACACCAGGAGTAAAGAACCCACACCAGGAGTACAGAACCCACACCAGGAGTAAAGAACCCACACCAAGAGTAAAGAACCCACACCAGGAGTAACCCACACCACCACCCCACAGAGTAAGAACCCAGAACCCACCACCCAGGGTAAGAGAGTAAAGAACCCACACCAGAGTAAAGAGTACCCACACCAAGTATACAGAACCCACACCAAGAGTACAGAACCCACACCAGGAGTAAAGAACCCACACCAAGAGTAAAGAACCCACACCAAGAGTAAAGAACCCACGTGCGTGACGTGATTCTCTCCTCCGCTATAAGCAGACATGTACCTATAACCCTCACCCAGGCTCCTAAGTTCTCCAGGTCAGCTGAGGACGCGTTGGGTCTCCCTTGATGCGCTCCCACCCACTTCCCTCCCTCACGTGGATTACTCCAGAGAAGTAAATTACCTTTTAAGACCCAATTCCTATTCAAAGTACGCCAGGCTAAGAGGTTCTGAACAATCTCTCCTCTTGAGCATCAGTCAGGCTTCCTGCAAATGGGAATTTCTTGATAAAATTTTGATTTTTTTCATAAAATTCCAGATTTCCCGTCTTATATTGCTCAAGAAAAATATAGTTTGGTTAACAAGGTTACAGATTTCTGGACAAAATGTCGACATCTTGATAAAATTTCGAATTTCTCGATAACTTTCCTAAATTCTTGTAAAAAAGAAAAAATCAGTTTTTCGTGAATTATATAAGGATATAAGAAAATTCCTGATTTCTTGAAAAATTATTAGATTTTTTTTTAAAAACTCGTCAATTTCTCGATAAAAAAAATCCCAGAGCCTCTGGAGAAAAAATCCGCAGGTTCGAATAAAATCTCGTGGTACTTTAACAAAATTTTCCCGTGAAGTATTTTTTCCTTCGTTTTCCTTTTTATTGGGAGAAGTTTTCCACTCAAGCTCCGCCTAAATCATTACACCATATTAATTTTCCTGCTAAGTAGATTCATCGTCGCAAACTTTCAACATGTTGTTAGAAAGAGCTTTCTCGCCCAACAATCGAACACTAGGGCTGTGTATATACTGTACGACGCAAGAGTAGTTGGTGTACCTTATGGTTCATACGTGTGTAAATTGAGCATGTTTGTAAAGTATGCAGGTGTGTAAACTGAGCATTTATGTAAAGTATGCATGTGTGTAAACTGAGCATTTATGTAAAGTATGCATGTGTGTAAACTGAGCATTTATGTAAAGTATGCATGTGTGTAAAATTGAGCAAGCAGGTGTGTGACCAATAAAGTATGCATGTGTAAAATGATAAGGGGAGCTACGAGGGAAGTGACAGAAAAAGGATGGATGATGTTCAACGATGGTAAATTTGCTTCCCCCCATACCTGTCCTCCACACCTACCTGTCCTCCACCAACCTTCCACACCAGTAACACAACACGGATAGTCTCTCTTGCGCGGTAAAAGTTAAAACCCTCAACGCTGTGAGAGCAAATAACCAACTTTCTTTCCCTCCCCAACATGTAGCGGCAATACTCGGCCAGCCACTGAGACTCCAGCCCGGAAACGCCTCGGAAACCACCTCAAGTACCCAAGAGTCCAGAAAATGGTTGCTGGGGAGGCTCTAAGTGGTTGCCGGGGGGAGCTTAAGTGGGTGGCGGCCGGGGGAGGGCCCAGGGAGGCAGGTCACCCAGGCAGGTCAAGGAGAGAGAGGGTGGGGGTGGGGAGAGGATCTGCGTCACCTCTTAAATACGGAGCCCTTAACGGTAGCCCTCTGAGCTGGCTGGAGTCTTGGTGGACAAAAATGTTGATAGGAAGACACTGTGAAGTAATAAATATATGAAGCACTAAAATCATAAGTAACAACCTCCCTCCTACACAAACTTGATCCTCGTCTTAAACTCAAATTCCCTACAAATGGAGAGGAATTATTACCTTGGGGTAGAAAATCATCCAACTTATACCATAACATTAAAAAACCCAACCATTATTAACTAACAGTACATATAGGGAATATCACTCATGAGAACTATAGTCTTTTTCTTGTGGGTAATACTCGTTCCTCCTCAACAGAACCCAATCAACTTTCATTCGACAAATCACCCTGAAACAAACACAAACTCAATCAATATTTTATTAGGAATATCCATGGAGAATATTCCTCATGACTCACCAATTCTTTTCTTAGGGTCATATTCCTTCCTCTATAAACAGACCCACGAGCTCCTGGTAAGATCATATCATCCTCGAGGCGACAACTCAACAAGAGCTACACACAAAGGCTCTAGCCATCTCCTGGCCAGGGTATGGAGGGAATATTGAGACGTGAATTCTTTTCTTGGGCTGAAATTCACAAGATGTAGCCTTAGGAAGTCGAGAAATTATCCTTCCCTCCAATGGAAAAGGAGGGAGGGAGGGACGGAGAAAAGGATAGGTAAATGAGGGAATGTAAGGGACCAAGGGGGGATGGAAGGAGACAAGGAAGGGTGAAAGATGTAATGGGAGGGACAAAGAGAGGAGGGAAGGAGAGAAAGGGGTGACACACACACACACTTGAGTTCCTTACAACTAGAGTAACCCAGTGGAAGGCACGACCACGACGCCAGCACGAACTATTTATAGCGCCAGACGAATATGCACCGGCCTTCTGTTTGCAGTTGCTCTCTTTAACAGACTGGACATAAGACCCACTCCTCGTCACCTTGTGCGTGAGTGCCTCCTCAGGTCACTGCCGCCACCGTACACTCGCACTACCAAGTCTTACAGATTCATGAACCGGAAACTACTACTCAACGCAATAACCTAAACCTCTCGCAGAATGAACTAAAACAAAATAAAAAGTGTTGAATAATTTGACAAAGTGATATTTATATTACATATGACTTTTCTTATTCACATACAAGACTAGTTCATGTTAATATACGTCATCAGTGGAATGGGTCATCCTCCTGCTAACATGACGATCACCAAAACGAGTAAGTTCTTTCCAGTAACTATAAATGTTTTGTATATGAAGTTTTAATGAACCGTCTGAAGTAGAACTGGAGTTATTACAGGGAAAAGAAGTTTCACCGTTGTGTATCAGTGAGGTGCAACAGCGGGCGGGAAACAGTGAAGCGGAGAGCCCCTGGAGGCCGCCACACTCTGGACCCCTGGCCAGGTGTACGGCCTCGGCCAGGTTGTGTGTCACTGTCAAAGGGTGTGTAGAGACCTGTTCTCTGTTATGGCAATATCCTCAACTACTTTTATTTTCCTTTCTGTATACTGTCACCCTACAAAATAAACAGGGTCGTTGGAGGCCTCCCTGTGCCCCTACAAAACAAGAGGAGGTCGGCGGGCGGAGCGTTACTGTCCACAATATATTCAGGGCAGGACACTTTTGTCGCGTCAATATCCCGGGGCCAGACAGCTAACCCTTCCCGTCCGAGGGTAGTTGCCCTACAGAGCTTCGGGGAACAGCGTAAACGATATACTGAAAGGGGAATGGCCTCTGTGGCCCGGCAAATGAAACCCGTTTGTGCCAGCCGGAAATACACAGCGAGACTACTGCTCCACCATTATGGGGGTGCACCTCTGTCCAGTGGAAACATTTCTTTATTTCCTTATACCCTAGTGTTTGAGCCCTTGTGAAACCCATGTAGCTTAAATATATTCCTGTATAACTTACATATTTAATTTAATTCTTGAAGTCTTCGTAAAGCAAGACACATACACACTATATATATATATATATATATATATATATATATATATATATATATATATATATATATATATATATATATATATATATATTTTTTTTCATTAGCCCAATAAAGCACGCGGACTACACAGGTAAATCAACACCTTAGGGATTCGAACCCACGTCCCACGAGCCTGGTGGTCCAGAGGTTAGCGTTCCTGGTCACAGTCATTGGATCGAGGGCCGGGTTCGAATCCTGGCGGGTTGAGGTGTTGATTGTGTGTATATATATATTTATATATATATATATATATATATATATATATATATATATATATATATATATATATATATATATATATATATATATATATATATATATATATATATATATATATATATATATATATATATATATTTATATATATATTAGCTCGGCATTTAATTTTTACTATATGAACTCGTGTATTATATCCATAAAAATTCTAAGTTTTTGAGTCTCAAATAATGTGTACACCAGTAAGAACGGGAAGAAAGGGGAGTAAAATAGTGTGGCCTAGTAAGACGAAGCAGAAGACAAGAAAAAGGTGTGGGTGAGTCACAAGAACAGTCCCCTAATGCCTGCTGGTGTGACCTGTTGACGCTAGGCGGGATAAACAACACGCGCCCGCACAGTTTTACGAGGCAAAAGAACACTAAGTTTTGTTTTCGACCCATAAAACAGTTTTATCGGCAATAAGTCCAAAAATATCTGGCACATAACAGTCCCGGGAATGACCTAAAACTCCACTTTTTTCCCCCCACTCAGTACAGGAAGGTGATGTAGAGCCGAGACCATAATTCCCTGGACACTTAGCAATATTGGCATCTACTTGTGGGTCATATACATCGGTTTAGGTCGCGATAACAATAAAAGAAACATTAATCTACAATGCAAAGACAAATGGGAGTAAACAAACAGATCTTATACCCTCAATCTCCACTCCCCAACACGACCCTCAACTCGATGCCAAATTGCTAAAAATCTCGATAGAATTTTGTCCGTCATTTGTACATAACTTAAATGGTTTAACATATCTTAAGACTGTACCGACGGTGATATTTCTTCAATGTCAATTCACATAAACATAAAGTACAGAAAAATAAATAATGTCCTCGTGTTAACCCGGTCAACCTCTGGAGTTTAAACCACTGTGACGCTGGATAGGAAAATTTACGAGGAAAAATTTGTTTTACGCATCACTTCTTGAGTTACCCCTAGGCATCATGGATCTTCCTCCTAAGTCCATTACCAGACGATAAATATTACTGAATAGTTATGTTATTACTCTATAATCACCTTAATGTGAGGTGATGTGTTGTCCTAATTGTTTTACCTTATTTCTCTTGGTCACGGTTACTGCACACACAAAGTTGTTTTATCCTGGGTCTCAGTAAACTATGTATTGCGTCAACCACAATGTTATTAATAGATATGCAAATACCGTCGTTTACAGCAGGGCGTGTAATGGTCGGCGGACATTCTCTACCATCGTTTACGTGTTATTAAATAAAACTCTGGGATACACGACTGTAAACACTCCCAAGGCCTATATCCTGCACGACTTCCCCATAACATTAACTTTTAGTGCATAAAATTACCATAATATCATTGAGAACTACTGCACCAGCTTCTTCATCTAGGGAGTGTAGGAAGGTCATATACCGCGGTACACTAATTACTAATACACGGGTATACCTGTATCGGTCAACTACTTTACCAGGTAGTTAAGAGTGACACACTCCTTTACGGGTGTCTTAAAAATAACTATTACACTAAGGCCGTAATTCCAGCAGGTGTAGGAGGAGGCAGTTAGCAGTTATTCACTCGTGTTGTGAATTACGGCCGCGCTATAACAGCAGTCATTCACGGCACAAGACCATTGGTGGGGTGAAGCACGTAGAGGCAGGAGCGTTAACAGAACACACGTTACACCTGAGATACATTACGTCTAACTAAGGTTCAACACGCGACATTATTCCACAACGAGACGTAAGTTATCAATAATTCTCTATCACCCACAACGGCTATACTACAACTAGGCCATCGTTAATTTCGTTATTTTGTATAGAAATTTTCATAAGATTTACAATTTTCTGCTACGCTCCAGAAAATGAAACGGTGACGAACAGACAGAATCATCAAGCTCATCTCTCTCTATATCCCTCTCCATCACTACATTTGTCGAGCGGGGGATAATAAACTAGTGTCTGTTCCTTCTACCGCCCTCCTTCCCTTTCACCCCCCCCTTCCTACCTCCCCCCCCCTCCCCGCTACCTCCCCCTTTCTTCTATTTTACACATACGGAAATAAATTCATAATATAGACCCGCATCATTACATTTATATAAGCCTTAAATAAAACTGAGATCATGCTTAGAGATATAACCTTTATGGTAAAATGTTTCTCTCTCAATCAATTCATATTACTTCAGCGGACAATAACAACTACCCGAGGACTGTACAAGACACCACCAGCCACAGTACACAAATACGCTACTGCTGTATTCACTCTCCGGTCCTGCCCACCCACGTTTAAAGATCAACACCTCTATAATACACAATTATATCCCTATATTTACATGCATTCGGCAATAGTAATAAAAGGAGTAATAAAAGGAGGTGTGTAATCTGTGTAATAAGATTTTATAAAGTTGAAAATCATAGAACCGAACTTTTTATGGTCACGCGTCATGAGATACACACGTTGTCGACCAACTGCTCCAACAATGATGATTTTTATAATAGAATATCAAGAATTAACAGGAGTATACATCTGCATGTACTTCCTCGACGTGGCAGCTCTCTCTCTCTCTCTCTCTCTCTCTCTCTCTCTCTCTCTCTCTCTCACATCACGAACACGACCCATCTGGATACAACGACACTTTATGTGACCCCAAAAAGTTTTCCAGGAAATCCAAGACGAGAGAAATAACGGGAGGTATCCGTCTTGAGTGTGCAGGTGATGGCGTACATTATATCCCCTGCACCTGGCCGAGGTTCACCCCTCAACACAAAGACCAAGTGAACATCCTCTAAGAAAAATACGATATTTCCCCCACCATGAAAAGGGACGCCCGTAAAACCTGCAAGAGGACCCTTAACAACGACGTACAATGAAAGTCAGCGCCGGGGTGTACCGCTGTCATCCTCACCAGTACACAGATGAAAAATAAATAAAGAGAGAGAGAGAGAGAGAGAGAGAGAGAGAGAGAGACACACTAGACTAGGTTCTTAAACAGTGATATAGAATTAAACACGGGCCGCGATGTATATATATGTGTGTGTGTGTGTATATATATATATATATATATATATATATATATATATATATATATATATATATATATATATATATATATACCGTAGTATAAATAAAACTATGGAAGCTTAAGAGAGGACCCTTGAAGACCCATTAACACTGGTACACAACGGGACTGACAGCTCAGGGTTTAAACACTGACAAAAATCCGACAACCTGGAAGGTGACGACGACCACTGCCTCTTACACAAATATTACTGTAGACAGACACTTGAGTACAGAGGCAGAAGACATACCCCAAGTGTATCTCTGACAGAAGACGGAAGAATAATAGCGACTTATAACTCGTCCTCTGTCTCATGACATGAGAGACAAAAACAACACGGATATCTCTCAATACACGACGGGGATATCTCATCCTTAAAGATCAATAAACTCAATACAGAATATTGAGAACGTTCTTACTACTTGTGGCTGCCAATACCAGTGGCTTGCTGGAGACCCGAGACCCTGCATTATTTTACCAGATTATGTGTGTGTGTGTGTGTGTGTGTGTGTGTGTGTGTGTGTGTGTGTGCGATAAATTTACTAGTGATAAATCAATTGTCCATTAGTGAGTGCTGGACGGAAGTGTAGGGGTGAGGGGTTGTAGGGTGAGGGGTTGTAGGGGTGAGGGGTTGTAGGGGTGAGGGGTGTAGGGGTGAGGGGTTGTAGGGGTGAGGGGTTGTAGGGGTGAGGGGTTGTAGGGGTGAGGGGTTGTAGGGTGAGGGGTTGTAGGGGTGAGGGGTTGTAGGGGTGAGGAGTTAGGAGGAGGAGTTAGGGTGAGGAGTTGTAGGGGAGGAGTTGTAGGAGTGAGTCGGTGTAGGAACGAGGGGGTGAGGGGTTACTTATTAAGGTTGGAGAGGCTGATGGGGTGAGGGGGTGAGAGGTATGAGGGAGGAATGGTGGGGTGAAGGGGTGGGTGTAGTGGTAGGGGTAATAGAGGGAGGAGAGTTGCTGTGTGATGATGTGAAGAGGAGATTTGAACAGTTGGGGTGTGTGAGGATGTTGAGGGATGTGGGGTGTGTTGAGGGATGTGGGGGTGGTGTTGAGGGATGTGGGTGTGTTGGAGGGATGGGGGTGTGTTGGGGATGTGGGGTGTGTTGAGGGATGTGGGGGTGTGTTGAGGGATGGAGGTGTTGAGGGATGTGGGGTGTGTTGAGGGATGTGGGGGTGT